TTTGGACCTTTTGATTGTGTTATTTGAAATTATTCTGAGTTGAGTTTTGGATGTGGATCTCCTGGTACACATTCATTTTCTAACCACCAATGCCTGTGGTTTCTTACACAAAATCCCTTCTTGCAAAAATTCCTTATTTTACACCCTGTTTTCTGCCCTGTGTGAGTAGGAAACAACAATTTAAACCTATGAGGAGTCTTAACATTTAAAATATTAGATAAGATAACATTAAAATAATATTTTAAACTTAATAATATTAACTAAATCTTAATGCCAATCCGAAATTTTACACTCTGCTGTCCCTGAAATTGTGGGTTCAAGGTGGAAGCCTCTCAAATCTCAGCATTTTGTTCTCAAACCTGGTGATTATTAGCAGGTTTTGTGGCCATGTTTAACTGGTTGGTGTTTTCTCCTTCCAGTGAGGAAAAGACCGAGCAGCTGCTTGACTGTAAACAAGAGCTGGAACAGATGGAAGCTGAACTGAAGAGACTTCAGCAAGAGGTGTGGGTTTAGTCATTTTATTATTTTAAGAAAAGTTACCACCACCAGAGCAATTCACCACTCTTTTTTGATACTAAGTATGTTTTCATGTTTATTTTTTTATTTTACCTTCTGAACCTGATCTTGTGGAATTTATTTCTTTATTTGGTATATTATGATGGGAAAAAATGCCTTGACTTAGAGATTTCTTCTCTGATTTTTTTTGTTTCTTCATTCAAGCAATTTGCCACCAGTCCATCCTCTGAAAGGATCTTTTTAAAGTGAAGGTGCTCCAGTTTTGTCTGATTTTTCTTAGTACTTTGTGGGGTTATAATGAGGGAAAAACCTTAAATACATCATAAATATACCTTTTTTAAAAATGCCTTAACTTAGGTTAGTATTTCTTAATTTTTTTGTTACTTGATTCAAGCAATTTGCCACCAGTGCTTCCTCTGAAAGGATCTTCTTAAAGTGAAAGTGCTCCAATTCTGTCTGATTTTTCTTTATACTTTGTGTGGTGATAATGAGGGGAAAAACCTTAAATACATCTTAAATATACAATTTTTAAAAATGCCCTTAGGTTAGGATTTCTCTGATTTCTTTTGTTTTGGCATTCAAGCAATTTGCCACCAGTGCATTTTCTGAAAGGATCTTCTTAAAATGAAAGCACTCCAATTCTGTCTGATTTTTCTTTATGCTTTTTGTGGTAATAGTGAGGAGGAAAACCTTAAATACATCATAAATATACAATATATGGTGTGGTGTTGTGAGGGTCCCCAGGATGAGGTGAGAGATGAGAATTTGACTCCAAGTTCTCAGAAGGAGAATTAATTATGATATGATATGAAATTATATTATATTGTTATATGAAATTATGTTATATGAAATTATATTATATGAAATTATATACTAAAACTATACTAAAGAAAGAGAAAGGATACATCAGAAGGCTGGACAAGAATGAATAATAAAAACCTGTGACAGACCAGAGAGTTTGACACAGCTGGACTGGGCTTGGTCATTAAGTAAAAACAATTCACATGCTGGGATAAACAATTCTCCTAATCACATTGCAAAGGAGCAAAACTGAAGCTTCTCAGGAGGAAAACTCCTGGCAAAGGGATTTTTCAGAAAATAAAATGGTGACACTATATATATATACACACAAATATATATATTTATATTTATATTTATAGTGAGTTCTTGAAAAAGCCCAGTGCAGTTTCCTTGGCCATACAATCACCTACAATCCTGTACAACAGATTGGGTTTTTCACTGAATTCTCAGCGTTCCCAATAGCCTGTGATTGCTGTCTGTGTCCCAGAACATGAGCCTGCTGTCGGACGCGCGCTCCGCCCGCGTGTACCGGGACGAGCTGGACGCGCTGCGCGAGAA